TGCAATAGTTTCTACTTCTTCTTTAACTAATGAGAAAGTCACTAAACTTTGGCATATGAGTGAGCATGGCAGAGGTAAAGGGGGCTTCTTGATAGGCACAAGACCAGTAAAATAAAATTTTGTAAGCATTGTGTCTTTGGAAAGCAAAAGAGAATTAGATTCAGTACATGTAGGCACAACACGAAAGGAACACTTGAATATATCCATCTAGATCTCTAGGAGCCAGTCAAGGTACCTTCAAGAGGTGTGCTTATTATTTGTTGATAGTAATTGATGATTTCTCCAAAAAAGTTTGGGTATTCTTCTTGAAACAGAAGAGTGATGTGTTTGAAATTTTCAAAGACTAGAAAATAATGATTGAAAAGTAGATTGGAAACCACGTTCAACATCTACGCACAGATAATGATTTTAAGTTTTGTTCAAATGAATTCAACAAAATGGTATGGCAGAATGGATGAACAGAATTTTGATGGAAAAGATTCAGTATATGCTTTCAAACTCTATGTTGCCTAAGACTTTTTGAGCTAAAGCTGATTAATCGCTCACCCTCATCTGCCATTGGAAAACAAACATTAGATTTGAAGATTTTTGGGTGTTCTGCTTAAGCTCATGTGGATAATGGAAAATTGGATCTTAGATCTAGAAAGTGTGTCTTTCTTGAGTACAAATCAAGTGTCAAGGGATATAAATTATAGCATCCAGAGACGAGAAATGTGGTCATTAGTAGGCATGTAGTATTTGATGAACTTGTTATGATTCATGGTTCATCTCGTGGGGATTCTGATAAAATAGATGAGCAAAATATTCAACTTCTATGAAGTTGAAAATTGGTCTAGTGGAACAATTATAGGTTAAAGAACAGTCTACTTCAGAACAATCCAGCTTAGAATTGACAGACAGTAATAATTCGCCTACTTTGCTTACACAACCACTAGCACCACAATATCCTATTGATAAGGATAGAGCTCGCAGACAAGTTAAACCTCCATAGAATTATGGGAAAACAGATTTGATTGCATATGCATTTTGAATGTGGCTGAAGAAATTGATTCAATGAGGAGCCTGCTAAATATACAGAGACAATCAGTTGTAGTGATTCTAACAAATAGTTGATTGCTATGCAGAAGGAGATAAAGTCATTAAATAAAAATTATACTTGGGACTTGGTGAAACTATCAAAGGATTAGAGGGTTCGCTACAAATGGTGTTTAAAAGGAAAGAAAGGACATCAGGGACAGTAATAATTCGCCTACTTTGCTTACACAACCACTAGCACCACAATATCCTATTGATAAGGATAGAGCTCGCAGACAAGTTAAACCTCCATAGAATTATGGGAAAACAGATTTGATTGCATATGCATTTTGAATGTGGCTGAAGAAATTGATTCAATGAGGAGCCTGCTACATATACAGAGACAATCAGTTGTAGTGATTCTAACAAATAGTTGATTGCTATGCAGGAGGAGATAAAGTCATTAAATAAAAATTATACTTGGGACTTGGTGAAACTATCAAAGGATTAGAGGGTTCGCTACAAATGGTGTTTAAAAGGAAAGAAAGGACATCAGGGACAGTAATAATTCGCCTACTTTGCTTACACAACCACTAGCACCACAATATCCTATTGATAAGGATAGAGCTCGCAGACAAGTTAAACCTCCATAGAATTATGGGAAAACAGATTTGATTGCATATGCATTTTGAATGTGGCTGAAGAAATTGATTCAATGAGGAGCCTGCTACATATACAGAGACAATCAGTTGTAGTGATTCTAACAAATAGTTGATTGCTATGCAGGAGGAGATAAAGTCATTAAATAAAAATTATACTTGGGACTTGGTGAAACTATCAAAGGATTAGAGGGTTCGCTACAAATGGTGTTTAAAAGGAAAGAAAGGACATCAGGGACAGTAATAATTCGCCTACTTTGCTTACACAACCACTAGCACCACAATATCCTATTGATAAGGATAGAGCTCGCAGACAAGTTAAACCTCCATAGAATTATGGGAAAACATATTTGATTGCATATGCATTTTGAATGTGGCTGAAGAAATTGATTCAATGAGGAGCCTGTTACATATACAGAGACAATCAGTTGTAGTGATTCTAACAAATAGTTGACTGCTATGCAGGAGGAGATAAAGTCATTAAATAAAAATTATACTTGGGACTTGGTGAAACTATCAAAGGATTAGAGGGTTCGCTACAAATGGTGTTTAAAAGGAAAGAAAGGACATCAGGGACTAAAGATGCTAGGTATAAGGCCAGATTGTTAGAAAAAGGTGCCAGTCAGATTTCGAGTATTGACTTCACAAATGTGTTCTCGCCAATTGCAAAGCATAATTCAATTCGGGCTTTACTTAGGATAGTGGCAAAGAATGACTTAGAACTTGAACATGTGGATGTCAAGAGAGTTTTCCTGTATGGAGAACTTGAGGAAAACATCCACGTGTAACAGCCAGAGGGTTTCATAGTTTTCGGGAAGAAAAATATGTGTGCTTATTGAAGAAGTCCTTGTATGAACTAAAGCAATCATTGAGGCAATGGTACAAAATATGTGATTCATTCATGACTACTCACAATTTCAACAAGAGTAACTATGATAACTGTGTGTACTTAAGGAAGAAACCTAGTGGATTGATAACATATTTGCTACTATGTTTTAATGATATGTTGATCGCAACCAAGAATAAAGCAAAGGTCAAAAAGGTAAAATCTCAGCTTAGTAAGTAGTTAGAGATGAATAATTTGGGTGCAACAAAGAAGATTCTTGGTATCGAAATCTTGGGGGACAGAAAGGCTAATAGATTATACTTAAGTCAGAATGGTACATTGAGAAGGTGCTTCAAAAATTTAACATGTTGAATGCTAAAACTATCAGTACTCCCTTGGTCACCTACATCAAATTGTCATTTGGGTTGCGTCCTCAATCAGATGAAGACATTGATTACATGTCACGGGTTCCTTATTCTAATGAAGTTAGTTCGCTAATGTATGCTATGGTTTGTATAATACCAAATTTGACACAAGCAGTTAGTAGGTACATGGGAAATCCGGGCAAGGAACATTGGAAAGCATTATAGTGTATATTCAGATACTTGAAGGGTTCAACTAATACTTGTTTGCATTTTTATAAAAATACAAATGGAGCCAATGGGTATGTGGATTCAAATTATGCAGGGGATCATAATAAAAGAAGATCACTTATAGGGTATGTGTTTACCCTTGGAGGTTGTACTATGAGTTGGAAAGTTACTTTGCAAAATATAGTAGCTTTGTCTACAAAAGAGGCAAAATACATGGCCTTACAGAGGCATGTCAGGAGGCTATGTGGTTGAGAGGATTGATTAGTGAAATAAGTGAAAACTTGTAGATAACTACAGTATATTTTGATAGTCAGAGTGTTATCTTTCTGACTAAAGATCAGATGTTCCATGAGATGACTAAGCGCATTGATGTGAGGTACCATTTTGTGCGTAATGTGATTGCTCATGGTGATATTGTAGTGAACAAGGTTGATACCAAGGATAATCCTACTGATATGATGACAAAACCACTTCCTATTGCTAAGTTTGAGCATTGCTTGAACTTAATTGGTGTTTGTCATTGATTTAACCCACTGGAGGCTTGTCTAGAAGAGGTAGAGTGGTGTTTGCTGGAGTTCCTTGAATTGGAATTTGGCTAAAGGTGGAGATTTCTTGTAGTGTGACCCAAATTCTAATAGGTATTGGAGTTCTAATTTTATGTGGTTTTGGAGAAATCAACTTATGAACTTAGACTAGTAATTGTCGTATTTTCTCTAGCTGGACTCTCGAGCAAAACTGTCAAATTTGAAACAAAAAACTATTGCCCATTTCTCTCCTCCTATCACTCGACATCGCTCAAGCGACGGAGTTTCCCAACTTTTCGTGTTTTAACGCGTTTTGGACTTTTATTCAACTACGACTTAGTTTATAGGGTTTTATATATATACAAAATGACGTGTATTGTAGAAAATAACAGTATATACAACATTTTGAGAGTTTCATATCTTAATTGAGAGTATTGAAATCTTGTAAACACAATTGTTGTTGATTAGAGTGAATTCTTCTCCTCTACTCGTGATTTTTTCCCATCTTTGATTTCCACATAAAATCTCTGTGTTCTTGTTTTGTTTTATTTTATTTCATTGTTATCATTATCTTCCGGTCAATTCACATAAGATTGAAACTATTAGAAAACGACAAATCCACTTTTTGGATACCTTTTATGTAATGATCATTTAATCAAGTTCAGTACTCCCTTTTATAGACTACTAGTTTTTAAACATATTCTTCATTAAAAATCCAATGTGAGATTCATTTTTCATATATTTATTTGAGTGTGGACTTTGTTGGAATTTTATTTTGTCCCTCATCTAAAAAGTATCATTCATGTTAAAAATGAGAATCTATTAATAATGTAATCTTTTTTATTCTTTTAGTGACTCATTCAAATATTTAAATTTATTTTATATTTGATATTAAAAAATTTTATTTAATAGTTGAAGTATAAAATAAACGAGGATTGTGGCTTCGCCTCACCCCCACCATAAACCGGCATAAAAAGAAAAAAAAAAAAAAACGATCTTGAATTTAAAATATAAATTTAAAACAAAAACAATGTCCACTTCTAGGATCTAAAGGGTCTTAGACAAATGATAAAAAAAGTGGAGCCCGAGACTCTTATAAAATCTAAGGCTATTTAATAACTTCGATAGATAATATAATATTCAATTCCCTAGGTCACTTTCCAGTTTCAAGAGCAAATTTAACGAAAATAAATGTGTTGTAAGTAATGAATTCATGCAAATAGTTTACAAGAGATCATAAACTCCTATTCAAGGGCGGACCGGGGGGTTTTTTAGGGGCAATTGACCCTCTAGATTTTGGGGGAAATTTTTGCTTAGCTTTTTTTTTTCTTAGCTTTTTTTTATTACAAGATACCCTATAAATTTTATTTTTGACCCCCTAACCCTAGTTGTCTGGGTCCTATTAAACAAGGAAAGAGGGATTCTTCAACCATTCCAAGAAAAATTGTCACTACGACCTATTGGGAGAAAAATCCTATAAACTTACATTCAAATAATAAAAAAATAATCCAAACTTAAGAATCGTAAAATTTGTTGGAACCTCAACTCGATACGCTTCCTATCACATAAAAAATTTGCCTAGTAAATACTTCTATACCATTCCTATATTTAATGTGAAAACCACACATTGCCTTGTTTCAACAATACTAAGAGCCAATGTAATGCATTTGCAGATTAACTGCTTGAAATGTTATGTTTTATCAAGAAATTAAAGTTCAAGATTGCGAAATTTACCTTAAGTACTCCATCTTCTACCAAGAGTCTCCCTGCAGTTAAAGTAGCTTCCCCCGCAAGAAAGCTTGAATGATGGAAAATTCCTTTCTCTTTCTGAATGTTATTGAAATATAGATGTATCAATGAATAAAAACGTTCCAATGTAGAGAGAGAGAGAGCCCAGTTTTTTAGACATTACCTCTCCAATGTAGAGTTTCTTAGATGTGCTCACCACAAAGATGTATTTCAACTGTGGCGATCCATGGTGAAGAGGTATTCTAGTTATATTGTGCAATATCTTTCCATCAACAACCACATACTCATAATATTCTCTCTCTTTCTGATCATATATATCAAAGAAGAGTAAAAAAAATTAAGAACCCTACTTAAAATGTTGCATGGATTAGAACGGAATAACATTTTAAGAAAGTTAATTTATTCATAATATAATCAAGAGATCATTATGAGTTACATCTCAAACTCTATTCATTCAGCACGCTACTAGATTGTTATCGATTAAATGAAAAATTTGTATTATCAAAGTAAATTAATATCACAAAATTGGAAAAAGGAAATAGGAATATTGCAATATATGTAACAATATAATAAGTTCATGTTTGGTTTAGATAAAAATCAAATTTTATTTTAATAGGATATTCTTGATTTTTCCACTATATCAGTCTGGTTGGATGATAAAAGTAGATGTAACGAGTGATTGAAAAGTTATGAATTCATGGAATGCATCGTTAAAATGTATTTTTGAGTTTGACTTAAATTTTAATCAATTTTTTAGTCGAAGCAAATAGGGGCTAAATAAGATTTTAGCTTCATTTTTTTTAATACTATTCAGTAATATGCGTGAAATATGCCATCAATGTAGAATAATTATCTCTTGCGAATGGTAATGCAATTTTGATTGCATACTGGTCCGAAATACTTGATGCATTGTTGATCAAGCTTTGATCTTGGGCACTCTTCAAGATCAACCTCTTTGCCATCTCCAAAATCCAACCTATTAAACAGTAGATATGTTCAAGTTTCATTAATATGTGATTTCCACTTTAGATAATAAGGAACCAAATACAATGGACACTTGTTCAAGATAAAATAAATGAAAAGCGCAATCAATAAATGCGATTGGCAGTGTAAAAACAAAATGTATTGTCATTTGGTTTCAAAATGTAAGTAGAGGCAGAAACAAACTCAGCCCTATTCACGCTCGATCCGCAAAAAATAACACAAATTGTAACTCAATACAACTCATGTGACACCACTACTTGATCAGTGTATTTTAAGACAACAAAATACTGCAAACTTTTCTTACCAGACAAAAAAATGTTGACTGGTAGAGCTTTTAAACCACTCTTTACAATATAGATGTAAGTTGTTCCCATAACGATGCCTTGGATCAATCTGCATAAATAACATAACTATCAAATATAACTTCACGAATATCAGTGACATCAAATGGCCATTATCAGGCAAAAAGTTAAGACAATGTCAAATAACTTGTAATTAAGTGAAGATAATTGAGCTCTAGGAACAGACTCTTAGTGATAAACTGCCAGGAGAAAGAAAAGAATGATGTCTATTCATCATGATGAGCAGACAAACGATCATTACAAGGACAAGCTAACCTTAAAAACTCTAAGATGGCAAGAAGGAAGAGTAACTCACCGCTTCAATCCAGTATTTGAAAACCAATATATGCGCCTTGGTATCAATAGACAAACCCTTGCCTACCTGTCTATAAGACAAATCATCAGATGCAGTCATTATCAAATCAATCATCTATTTAAGCCACTGAATTGTTAATTTTCCATTATTTATATTTCTCATTTTCTTAAATTTTTTCAACTTTTTTGACATAATTAAATACCAATATAAAATAGTTATAAGAAAGGATCTTTTCCATACTTTGGAAGCATTCATAATGGCGCGCTTCCACCATGAGGCTGTTGTCTCAGGCTTCAACAAGTCGTCACATGATACAATATTGTTATTCCTTCGTACAAACTCCATTTGCTATAGCCACCTTCAATTCCACCATGAAAAGTTAAAACAGTAAAAGTTTGAGGAAGTTCCATGCATTTACGTAGGATAATTTTGGTTGATTAACGCAAACCCCCCCTATTGAAAATACCACAAAAGGTCTCTGTTTGAAACATGTAGTGCGAAATGCCCCCCTGGAAGGTTTCAAACAGGGACCTTTTGTGCCATTTCCAATAGGTAGGGAGTTTTGCACAGTATATCTAATAGGTAAACGGGTTTTGCGCCAACCAGCCCATAATTTTTGTGCATACTATTAAAAAAATTCACAATTCTACATGCTTTGGATGATTGTGAGATTGAACAATTTAGCAACGTACTTTGAGAATTTTTATCCTCTTTGGATATTGATTTCTAGCTGATAGAATATTCTATGGGAAATATTTTTGCTCTTCTTTGGGTTTAATATATATATTTTCTTTGGAATCAAAGCAACCTTGCATTGACTGAGATCACCACGAATTACTTGTGACATGGAAAGAGGAGTACCAACTATTAGGCTTGTTCTAACAAATGAAGTGAGCTCGTGAGCCATCTTATTTTTCTCACGAAAACTAATAAGTGAAGTCAACCAAGTCAAACGAACAAGCTAAAATTCGGTCATTGTAATTGATAGATGTCTATATAATGCAATTCTAAAGTACAAAAAAAACAAGCAAGCATGTAGATGAAGATGGCAGGTAGAAAATTAACAGTAAAAGCCAAATCAATAAAGGCCGGCAAAAAGAAGATAGAAGATCTTGGAAGAGAAGAATTTTGTTGATGGTTTTACTAGGTCTTTTACCGCTCTGTGTCATGTGTCCTATGTGTATGGAAGTTATCTTTGTTGTAGCCAAAGAAGCTCATATGACAGCAGACTGCTTCACTAGTTAGACTACATTTCCATGATTGCTTTGTCAAGGTTTATCATTTTCATCTAAAGTTCTAAGCATGTTTGGATATTGTGATGAAAACCAAAAATTATGCCGGAATGTCCCAATATGTGAGTGATAATCTTTTACCTTTGGAACAAGTGCTTTCCTCTCCGCAGACCTACAGAATCGTTGTTGTTGCAGAGAGCCACTGCTCCCCAGTGAGCGGAGTAATGTTTCGAAACCTAACAAAGGAAGGAGAAAAAGAAAGGTGCCGGGGGGAGGGGGGGGGGTACTCGGGTAGAAAAAAAGAGGGGGGGGGGGGGGGGGGGGTGGAATAGGTACGGGTTACTCTTAGAAGGGTGATTTTTTATTCCTAGAAATAAAAAGGGTGTTTATTTACAAAAAAGGAGACCTGTACAGCAATAAGAAAGGAATTTCGGTCTCGTCAACTGGACCCATTCTCTGTGTTCCTTTTTGTTCTTGCATGGTAATATTCATTTTTTTAAACTAATTTTTCATATAAATACTCGAGCAAGTAAGGTTTCGTATAAAAGTTTGAGATCGTATTCATTGTATTATTGCTTTGTTTGTTGATTTTATTACGTATTTTTTCTTCGACCTTAATTTCGTTAGTTAATTTTATTGAGGGCTTGTTCGGTAGTAAATTTGAGAACTGATTTTTTGACCGTTAGAGAGAAAAGTGGATCCTACTTGTAAGAGAAGAAGTAAAAAATGACGATTGAAATAGTCAAATAATGGTAAAAAAAATTAATTTTTTGGGATGAAAAATCGTACTAAACATGCACTAAGCAATATTAGCTAATCTAATCGTACCTAAACGTTCGTCTCGATCTTCGTTGAGATTCCAAACGACAACCATGTGCTAATGAAAAGAAGAAGAAAATGGCCTTTTGGGCTTTTCCGTGATTGGAGTATCCAATATATTAAAAACAAATTGGAACCCAAGATATTGAAAACAAAAAGAAATGGGATGACATACAGGTTGGGAGGAAAAGAAAAATGAAGGCAAAGAGATGGTGGCTGAATAAAAAAAAAAGGAAAGGAACGTAGATAGAGCATTAGAGACGTTCATTAAATTATATTGACAATAATCAACTTCCGTGGAAGTTGCACTGATAGTACCTAAACGTTCATCTCGATCTTCATTGAGATTCCATTTTTACCCTTACTGTGCATGTTCAAAAGATGGTATTGGTGGGTAAAATTACAAGCGTCCATGAAATACACTCACAATAACGTACCTTTTGCTCGTGTAGAATCGAACAAAGTTTCGACTTACCAAACACGTAAGGTAGAAACCAGATATACATGAAAAAGAATACGGTCTAGGTAATAGTTGTATTCTTTGTTCTTAAGACTATAATGCTCCGCATGGGGGCTAACAATTTTTTGACATTCATCTCCCAATATACAACGAACATATCCTGCAATAAAAGCACTCCAAATTACATAGACCAACAATCTCAAAATTGAATTTTTCCTCACTATTTAAATGAGATTTTATGCACTGAAAACTTTGATTATGTAACAATGCGGTGTAATGTAATCGATACATATGATATGGAATGGATTTATACCACCAAAGGTGTTCAATTTATAGAGGTTGAGGGGTTGTGGCTGAAAAGACATGCCCTTAAAATTCAACATGTTCCACGAAGAGGCATGCACATCTCTTCAGGCCATTCACTAACCGCCTGGGCAGCCGCTCGAATGGTAGCCTAACGTTCAGGGAATCCACAATCCCTCAACCTCTATAAATTGAATAACAAATTTTTATTATTTTGAAATTAGTTTTGAGATTTCAAATATAATACGATCATTTACTTGAAGAGTAAAACAAGTTAATTTATTCACTCGAGTGATTTGACTGTCGAAACCTATACAAATGTTTGGTCGAATATGATATAAAATCAACTTTTATTAATTGTACTTAACCAAATTCCAACAGGAATTGCCCTCGTCATAATTTTCCCAACGGTTGGATCATGGCCGTTTTCAGTGTTACATAAAATTTGATTACAAATACATGACAATACATGTTAGACAAGTAACAAAATGACAAAATTGTTTAGCCAAAGTTGTACCTAATGAGTCTCGGGCGTGTGCAAAAATTTAGCTTTTTTTCCCAAATGGTCAGCATAATTATTGAGTCCTAAATGGTCAGCATAATTATTAAGTCCTTTTCGCTGACTATTATTATGAAGAACCCATCATCCTTATTGAGTCCTAATGGTCAGCATAATTTAGTTAGTTGTGCACCCATGTGTATAATTAGTTTGACACGATTTTAGATGTCAAAATTAAGTCCATTAATTTCAATAAATATTGTTAAAATTAATGGTAAAATTGTGTGCCATATCAAAGGGTGTAAACAAAACTATCAACCATGATGTAAATATAGCAAAACTGACAAAAGAGAAGTTGATTTGAAAAAGATTCATTATTATTATCGACAAAATTAACAGAGAAAACATCTACATGACGTAATAAATCTCCTTGCAATGATGCTAATGAATAAAGCTGTTCCTTCAGTTTTCGAGTGAAAATAAATAAATAAATAAATAAAATTATATGGGTTGTTTATTTTGCTACTTCAGGTATCAGGTTTTGATTTCGGCCCGAATTTCGGGTATTTTTTAGTTTTAAGCGTTTGCTAATGCGCTGTCCTGAAAATTGGGCTCATTAGCCCCAAATGAGTTTGGACCTTCAGTAAGAAGCCCAGTAAAACTATGATTTCTATTACAATAAGGATAAGCCCCTGTTTAATACCTATTACCTAAACACGAAAATGAGAAGAATAGTATTTTTTAGAAGAATGAGTGGTTGAAAAAGAAGGAAAAGTTTTCGATTTACGTGTAATATTATTTTATAAAAAATTATGTGGTTGAAAATAGGAGAGAGAAAAATGAAATATAATTTAATTTAATTTAATGAGGATTAAAAAGGGGCTAAATAATTTGGGGGGCGGGGGAGGGGGGGTAGCATTTGGTGGTTCGCCTCTAGAAAATTAAATGGTCTAGTGGACAAGGTTTCCGTAAGCACTAGTATTTGCTTTTTAACACTAAATTCAAGCTTTCAGCTCACATTTTACTTCTTGCCATCTTTCTACGATTATGATGTTGGGTTGTCTACCCAAATAATATATTTTGTTGTGATAAAATAATCATTTATAATAGATAAATTGTGATTTTCTTATTAAGCATGCAGATTAAAATGTTTATGATCACTTGAAATAATGTAAGTTAGGTACTTGCGTTGAGAAGTAAAGTATGACACAACTTATATTTTGATTATAAGCTCCTGTTTGATCCTCATTACCTGAAAATAAAAATGGGGAGAATAATATTTTTTAGAAGAATGAGTGGTTGAAAAAGAAGGAAAAGTTTTCGATTTACGTGTAATATTATTTTATGGAAAGGAAGCATTTGGTGGTTTGCCTTTAGAAAATTAAATGGTCTAGTGGACAAGGTTTCCGTAAGCACTAGTATTTGCTTTTTAACACTAAATTCAAGCTTTCAGCTCACATTTTACTTCTTGCCATCTTTCTACGATTATGATGTTGGGTTGTCTACCCAAATAATATATTTTGTTGTGATAAAATAGTTATTTATAATAAATAAATTGTGATTTTCTTATTAAGCATGCAAATTAAAATGTTTATGACCATTTGAAATAATATAAGTTGGGACTTGCATTGAGAAGTACAGTATGACACAACTTATATTTTGATTATCAGCTCATGTTTGATCCTCATTACCTGAAAATAAAAATGGGGAGAATAGTATTTTTTAGAAGAATGAGTGGTTGAAAAAGAAGGAAAAATTTTCGATTTACGTGTAATATTATTTTATG